ATTGTCGACAAGAGGAATTGATGCAATTATTCTTTAATACTGTATGGTGTATACATGTGAGTGTATGAGAATGAAAATAAAATATACTAAAAGTGTTTAAAAAAAAAAAACGAAAAGCCAGGCAGCACCATGTGAGCTGGCCCAAGATAGAAAACTAAGTGCCAGCTTTGAATGGAACCTGGCAGGAGCCGTTTCTCTATTCCTCAATTGCCACACAGAGAGGGGAAGGGCAGGAGGATGAAATGCATTGCTAGACAAAAGAGAACTTTCTCGTAGAAGCCATAGAAGCCACCTCTACAGGTGGTGGATAGAGACAGGGAGGAGTGCCTGGAGAGCCCCCCAATTAATCTAATTGGCCAACGTAACCTGTGAGTATTTCCTATTATACTGAAACCACAGGAAACATTTAGAGATGGTTTTCCATTTGATTGTGCCTATATGATGTACCCAATAAAGAAGTTCTTAGAGGAAGACCTTAGCCTCAGTATTCTGATTTGCTTGGTTGGGTTCGTTAGGTGGGATCATGACATTAAGTTTGAAGTCAAGCGGAAAAAGATGAACAGAGATTACTTTTAAGAAATGGGGCAAGGTCATCGTTCATGACTCCTAGCGCAAGACTCTCCAAACTTTTCAATCCCTTTCAGATGATTCATTGATCCCCAATTATATGAAAATAATAAATTCAGTACTATTACTTTTAATAGCACTACAACTAATATACCCTTAGTAGTTCCATTGACATTTGGAGTTGATATTGCTCACTTGAGGAACCCTGCCTTGGAGGAATGGCCTTTACTATAACCTTCCCCATCTAAAACTACCATTTGTACTTACAAGCCCATCTGTGGATAAGCTGAGTCTTGGGAGTTTTAACCAAAATATCGACAACATGCCACTGCAGTTAACTGCCCTGCATTTCTCATGGTATTTTGATTAAAAATTGGAGCATGGGAGTACAGGTACTTTAAAAAAAATAATTAAATTTGTAATTGTCATCTGTGAACCACCCCAGTCGTTTTACCATGTCTAAATTTGATTGATTAAAAATACAAGTTTGATTTGATTTGATTTGTTTATNCCTGTCCACCAATAAACCATCTTTCCAAGCAGCCTCCATGTCTCCAGTGTCTTTTCCCCCACTTGGAGCCGAACCCAGAAGGACATTTCTTTCGTCAGCGTCTCAAATAGTTAATACATAGAATTATGTTGAACGTCTGTAGGTATAAATGCACATTTTCTGTCATTAGCTTGCTGTGGGGATGGATTTCAAAATTAGTTACTCTAGCCCAGTGCTGGGTATTTATTGCAAGATGTAAATTGTGGGGTTTCAGCTTTTCAGTATCTGCCATGATTCAGGGAAAGTGTTTTTTTTTTTTTTACGAAGGCTATCTTGATATCTACCATGACTTTGTGTCTAACACCCTTGGTCACTAATGTGTTGTTGTTTTTGTCTCAAGAAAATCCATTTCCTGTACCCGTCTTCCTTCCAGGAGCTACTTCAGCTGTTGGCCTCCCTGCATCACACCTTACCCAACAGCCCCTCCATGATTGCTCTGGATGGTTTGGAAGAATACCTGAACGGCTGCTCCAGCGCCTATACAGCAGCCCAGCTTGTAGCTCTCTTGCTGGACACATCCAATCATTTCGCTCAGAAACGCCATTTGTCTGTGGGCTGCCAGCTGATTGTCTCCATGAAGTTTCTGGGAGAAGCCGGGGAAGAAGCAGAATTTTTCTCAGCCATCGAACGCTACTTCCCAACAAAACTCTGGCTGCATCCAGAGACTGGGAAAGATGGCGGTCTAAAGAATCAAAATTTAACCCGGCTGATTAGGGCACAACTCTTCCGGCCAGGAACAAAGGATCAAGAATGGATGGTGAAATTTGATGCACAAGGTAGCATGACAGTCTTTCTGTTGCCATGCAAAAATGAACCTGAGAATGAAACAGTTTCTGAAAACAGGCCGCCTGATTCTGAAGTTGGTAGCACTCAGACTTAAGGACTTCTGGACAATATTTTGATCGACAGCAAACACACCTTCCATTAATACAGAATGTGATTTTTTTTTTTAAATCAAAGTTTGAGTTTTTCATTTAGACTGAACTGGCGAGTTGACAATTTAAAGAAATGTAATCAATTTCAGTGTTGCACAAAGTTGGAGGTAGCTTGTGTGCTACTTGGTCAGTTAGGAGAGTATTCTCTGCACTGTGATTCCTCTGGAAGGGCTGGTGGCTTGGGCTGCTCCAGTTTCTTAGCATTGATATGGATTTGTTAGCCCTTGGAAGGAAGGAGGGAGTCCCATAAAAGATTGTATACTCTGCACAGTAATTGTCCTAAGTTCTCTCAAGAAGCTTTGTTGGAGAAGCCTTCTCAAATATCTACTCGGAGAGAGTCAAAAGGGCTTTCCGGCACTTAGGCCTTCAGCTGCTATTTGCAAACTGCCTGGAAATGAAACCAGATTAAGGAATCCCTTCTCAGATTTTAGCCCCAGTCTTTGGCTAAAGTGATGGCCTGATATTCATTGTGCATTATTTTACATGGACCCTGATCAGTGGGTTTTCCTGCTTATCTCCACTAAATCAATAAAAAGGCCATTCCTTTCATTGCTCTATTAATGAACTGGTAAAAAATACTTTTAATGCCACAATTTCACACACACACACACACACACATACTTAAAATGCAGCTTCTGCTTCTGTTCTGGTGAACTTGTGGGGGGGGGGGGGGAAAGCAGTGAAAGACAATGACTAGACATGCAAGGATCTTCCATTAGTCGATGGGAGCGGAGGGGGCTGCCTGCAGTGAGATGGGACAGAGCAATCAAGCCAGGCAGCACATGTATACTGTTTTTCTCTAATTTTTCTTTAAAAATAGGATAAGCCAAATACATTAACACATAGTGGAAAT